GCCGCCGCCGCCGCCGCCGCCGCCGCCGCCGCCGCCATGGACCCCGCGTCCATTCCAAAATGCGTTTTTGGGTCGCTGCTGCCGCAAATCCCACGTTCACTCCAAAATGCATTTCGGGCCGCCGTCGCAGATCCTGCGTCCCCAAAATGCGCCGTAGTATTATAACGCGAACAAGATGTTTTGTCTAGGTGATACATCATTGATGTATTCTCACAGTTCTTTTTTTCAAGGTCAGAAGCCGTCGATAACGATATTTTTTTCTAAAAAGAGATCGGTGACACGTCGTCATTACTGCGACCCAATAGGGATGATAATGAGACAAAGAAGTCACAAATGGAATATATAATGGATCATAAACGCGCGGCACCAGTTGGTGCTTTTAAAGATTACCGAATCGCAATAAGTATAATGCGAAAAGTATGGTGCCATCATGCAGAAGTTGAGGGAATGGATGGTGTGAATGCAGACAAGTTATTTGAAGCAATGGAAATAGAATTTGGGGACATAATGGACGATGTAGAAGTCGAGGATATCAGAAACGTTGAGAACATAGTTAACGTAGCCGAGTATATTAGAAACGTGGATCCAGAACAGTTCGCGAATATCAGAGACAAAGTATTCGAAGTGCTTGAAACGAAAGTAGATTTTGAGAATATAATGGACCAAGAGTCATCTGACGAAGAAATGCTATCCGACGATAGTGGATGAGCTAGTGATATGAGCGAGTATGAAATTGATCGCGTAGAAAAATTTGTGCAGTCTTCGGAAATCCGTATGTTGAACGCTCGTACTAAGCATTGTGTGATCTACAATTATTATACAACGGGTGATGCTTTAACTAACTATATGCACAGCATGCATGATTCGTATAGATGACATTAATGATGTAGGAATGTATCACATCAGGGAGTATGAGATTGGTTCTTTCGATAGGTTAGACGGTAAGTCGTGCACGAATTGCAGAGAACCTTTGTACAGTATATTCTTGTGCAACATGTGTCCACTCTGCACACAGCACAAAAAAAAAACTATTGTGAACAGTACTGGAAAATATGTGGGAAGACTATATTGTAGATGATGTGTTGTATGTTCTCGGTAATTCGCAAAAAAGAGACACAGATGTGCGAATATCGCCGGTGCAATTCCTACGCGATCGAGAATTAGGTATACGTGATGAGAAACATGGAATAGTAATTAAAGAGCCCGTTTCTGGTCTTTACTCGCGTGACAGAAAGTATACCCATGGTTACGAGATAAATGTTATGAAGACGATGAGTATGAAAAGAGACATTGGTAGAATAGAAATGTCAGTGTAGTAATAAGGGATGTTTATTGGACGAAAAAAATCGCAGATAAGAGCCAAGGTTGGTACATGTGCATTAAGATTCCCGCGAGTAATGAAAAGTGTGTCGAACTATTGATTATTGACAATATATGGATGGAATTTCGTGATCGCGATCTTGCACTAAAACTGTTTTTCAATAGATGTGACGAACAATGCTTTGAGTGCGAACAGTGCACTTTCGCAAACAAACATAATGAAAAGGTGTTAGAACGTTATGATATTCTAGATACCAGATGTATAAGCTTAAATCTGCTGTTTGCTCATAGGTGGCATTAGTGAGCGTACAAAGCTACCGTGAGCACACAACATACTTTTTTTATGTGTTTGACATCTGTCAACATTAACCAGTGCACATCATCCGCAATTTCAGACAACAACATATATTTTTTCTTTCATAATCATGTCTAGTTTTTCGCTAAAAAAAAAGCATATGCGGGAAGCTTTGCTTTCCTGTTTCAATCTGTTTGAAGAAATCGGCTGCCGAATCGCATCGAATGCTTGTGGAGGTCTATGGCGACAATGCTTTATCGGAAACAACGTGCAGAGAGTGGTTTCGCCGGTTCAATGACGACAATTTTGACCTGAGTGACAAGAAGCATAAAATCGGCCTAGGAAGGTTGAGGACTGTCAATTGCAGGCTCTTTTGGACGAAGACGATACCCAATCGCAAAAAATGCTTGCTGAGCAATTGGGTATTTCTCAAGAAGACATTTCCATGCGGCTACATGCCATAGGGAAGATTCAAAAGATCGGAAAATGGGTGCCGCATGAACTGAACGATAGGCAGATGGAGCGACGCCAAAACACATGCAAATTTTGCTTGTCAGACAAAAAAGAAAGTCGTTCCTGCATCGGATTGTGACAGGCGATGAAAAGTGGAGTCTATTTTCAGAATCCTAAACGCAAGAAATGGGTTGATCCCGCCCAACCATCAACATCTTTCTCAAGATCAAATCGCTTCGGACGGAAGACGATGCTGTGCGTTTGGTGAAAGGGTGTCATCTACTACGAGCTGTTAAAATCTGGTGAAATTGTTAATACTCACCGCTACCACCAACAATTGATCAAATTGCATGTGACCATGCTCTGCGTGAAAAACGGCCGCATTATCGAAAAAAACATGACCAGCTGATTTTTCTCCATGACAACGCACACGTCAACAATGGTCCAAAACTACTTGGAGACACTCAACTGGGAAATGCTACCCCATCCTGCTTACTCATCAGACCTAGCACTTCTGACTATCATCTGTTTTTGTCAATGGGCCACGCGCTCACTGAGCGGTACTTCGATTCTTACGAAGACGTTCGAAAATGGTTTGATGAGTGGTTTGCCTCGAAAGATGAGGAATTTTTTTGGCATGGTATACACAAATTGCCCGAAAGATGGTATACACAAATTGCCCGAAAAATGTATAGTTAGCGAGGGCAAGCACTTTGAATAAATTTGTTTTCTTCCTAGGAAAAAAAATGTGTTTTTCTGACTAAAAACAGCAGATTTAAGCTTATACACCTGTGTCACGATGTTGCAACGTGAACGAGTCACGTGCAAGTGCTCCGTGGAAGAATGCGACGTGATTTAAAAAACTGTAAAAAACATGGAAAATCATGAGCGAGTGGAACGCGAACTGTTGGAGCAGTGCAGCCAAGTTACTACTCTGGTGGAATGTTTCGCATGGCTGCAACGATGCATCGAGCAGCTCGAAGAACTTTGTCGTGCCAAGCGCCCGCACCTCGTCGTTGGACACAGACAATCCTCGGTGGCAAGGATCACACGACTCGCGGATGCAAAGAAACGTCGCAATTGGAGCGACGTTTCGTGCACATTGGTGACGAATACGCGAATGGCGAGTACGTGAGTAGCAACGAACGATCTCTTGTCTGGCGAGAAATCGACGCCACGTTCGAGAATCGTATATTGACAGGTGCGGTGATAAATTCTAATCACATCGAGCCGCAGCAATTTTTAGAAGACGCTAGCAGTGTAGTTCTAGAGCGAATGCGAGACGCTGTATAAAAACACGGTAGTGTAAAAGTAAACACCGCATTCAACGGTGAATTCGCAACGAAGGATAAACGTGCTAATAAGAGTATAGTTACAAAGAACAGCGAGATATACCGATTTGCGCGAGTGGTACGAGCACGTCCTATCATCCAGCCTATCCTAGCATCGCTCGAAGAGTTCCAGGAACGCGACAGAGGGTGGGCATTGTTACGTATATTGAATTTGACTATCAATGTGAACAAACTGAATTCCCTGCGCGTGGGATGTCACATCGAAGTGCCTCAAGAAATAGTGACGAAATGAGCGATAATCAGTGTTCGTACGACGGACAATGCCTGTTTCGCGTGGTCGATGGTCTGTACCCAGCTGAAAAATATACGGAGCGGGAATCGTCTTATCCGCATTACATGACAGTGTTGAATCTCATGGATATCGAATTTCCAATAACTTTCAAAGACATTTTTAAATTCGAACGATTGAACATGGTGTCGATCAACATGTACGGCATCGAGAATAAACAAGTTCTTCCTCTGCGGTTCACCGATGACAAGAAGCACGTCAATCTCCTGTATCTACAAGATTCACACAACGACAACCTTGGTTACTTTACGTGTATCAAGAACCTGTCGCGTCTCGTGAGTTCGCAAATTATTAGGAAAAAGAACAAGAAGTTTTTCTGCGATCGGTAAGTATAATAAGAAAAGCCAATAAAAAAAAACAGTAAAAAAGAAATAATGAAAAATGATTTCTCTATTATTATTTACAGGCGCCTTCATTACTTCGGTTCGTGCGAAAAATTGCAATTGCACGAAGTGGACTGCCAGAAAATCAATGATTGCGCCATCCGACTGCCGAGCGAGGACGACAAGTGGCTCGAATTTGGAAATCACTGTAATAAGGAGCGCGTCCCATTCATCATCTATGTTGACCTGGAGTGCGTCCTACGTAAGACAGAATCCGACAAGGAAGATGCGTCGTCATATGCGTATCAGCGGCATGAAGCGCTTAGCATAGGCTATTACGTGCGATGCGCGTACGATACATTATCATCGTACTACTTCCATCGCGATGAAGACTATATAACGTAGTTCGCGCAACAATTCAATGATTTGGCACATCGCGTGAAAAATATCGTATCCGCCCATAGAAACGTTGTCTAAACAGCAATGGGAGGCACTGTAGCGCGATGCGTTGTCACATCTGCGCGAAACCGTTCGCGCCGAACAATACGCGAGTTCGCGATCATTGTCATCTCACCGGTAGATACCGCGGTCCAGCGCATTCAAATTATAACTTAAAATATAAAAATTCGTTCTATATTTCGATCGTATTTCACAATTTATCGGGCTATGATGCCCATTTTATAATTAAGGAAATTGTTACTGCGTACGATGGACATGTAAATGTACTACCGATAACGAAGGAAAAATATATTTCATTCACTAAACATGTCGATAGCACCAAAGATAAAAATGAAAAGAATTTTCAGAAAAAAATGGTGTAAAATTAAGATTCATTGATTCTTTCAAATTTCTAAATGCAAGCGTCGATAAATTGGTGTCATATCTCGACAAAGATAAATTAAAAATTGTACGTTCCGAATTTTGCAAGTTCAACGCGGAGGATTTCGATTTTCTCACACGAAAAGGTATTTTTCGTACAAATACATTAACTGCGTCGAAAAATTGCAGAACACGCGCTTACCGCGCGAATTATTTTTCAGTTCGTTGACAGGTACCGTATCCGAGAGCGATTACGCTTACGCTGTGAACGTATGGCAGCGATTCTCCATCCGAACGCTCGGGGAGTACAGTGATTTGTACTTGAAAACTGATGCCTTGTTATTAGTCGACATTTTCGAAAATTTCCGCAATAATTGCATCGCGAGTTATTGTCTCGATCCCGCGCATTATTATACATTGCTAGGTTTCTCGTGGGACGCTATGTTGAAACATACACATGATTCGAGTTGTTCACCGACATTGATATGATCATTGAGCGCGGTGATCTCAGTCAATGTTCCAGCAGATACGCACAGGCTAATAACAAGTACATGCGTTCGTTCGATCCATTGAAACTATCGTCGTATTTGATGTACTACGATGTGAATAATTTATACGGATGAGCGATGTGTCAACTTTTGCCATACGCCGAATTTCAATGGTTCGAAGACGCTGTGAACTTTGACGTGAGTGCGATCGCTCCGGATTCATCCACCGGTTATATTTTCGAGGTTGATCTCGAGTATCCGCAGCATCTATACGACCGACACACTGACCTACCTTTCTGTCCAACGCGCGATAAACAGCCGGCAAGCGCGAAGATAAACTTCTAGCGACGTTGTACGATAAATAGCGTTACGTCATCCACTATCGCAACCTGCAGCAATGTACTCGTCACGGTCTTCGCGTAACAAAGATCCACCGGGTGTTACAATTCGCTCAATCTCCATGGCTCCGCGATTATATTGAACGCAATATACAATTTAGAATGCGCGCAAAAAACGATTTCGAAAAAAATTTGTATAAACTAATGAACGACGCAGTATTCGATAAGATCCATGGAGAATGTGCGCAATCACGTTGATGTAAAATTAATAACAAAATGGGACGGACGGTACAGCGCGGAGGCAATGATCGCGAAACCGAATTTTCACAGTGTTCCGCAGTGTTCTTTGCAGAAAATTTGATCGCCGTCGAAATGCGCAAACTCGAGGTAAAGTTTGACAAGCCGATTTATGTGGGTATGTGCATATTCGACATATCGAAAGTCTGTTTGTACGAAATTCACCACGAGTACATGTCCGATGTATCGCGACAAATGCAAGATCATATACACCGGCACGGATAGTCTCATTTACCATATATAATGCGACGATGTTTACGAGAATATGAAACACGATATCACTAGATCCGACACGAGCAATTATCCGGCAGACAACGTCGGTATGCCTCTCGCGAACAAAAAAGTACTCGGCCTGATGAAGGACAAAAATAATGCGATAATGGCCGAATTCATTGGACTGAAAGCGAAGATGTACGCGGAGAGTCAATGGCAAGAAGGACACTAAAAAGGCGAAAGGTGTAAAGAATAACATCATAGCGCGAACGATAACGTTCGATGATTACACGTGGTGTTTGAACGAAGAGATCGAAATGACTCAATCATGTATACGATCTAAATTACACCAGGTATATATTCGAATCGAAAATCGCTCTGAGTCCATATGACGACAAATGATACGTCATACCGAACTCGACGGACATTACCGTGGAGACATTGGCGGACATCTCTGAATATATGTTACTATTATGTTATTAGGTGTACAACTTTGCTTCCGCCGTTTTTTTTCCGAAATTCGAGGCTTTATTGTAAAAAACTGATTATACATTTATGATTCAAAGTATTATCCATCGCTGGCCACTACTTTCTCCCATCTTTCGAATCTCGCGTCGAAAAAACTGGTCATCTTTTGAGGTTATTCACGAATCGATCCAATTTTCTACTTCTTCATAAGACCAGAAGTGCTGGTCAGCCAGGCCGTGTGCCATTGATCGAAACAAGTGATAGTCAGAGGGAGCAACGTCTGGAGAATACGGCGGGTGGGGTAGGACTTCCTATTTCAACGTTTCCAAGTACGTCTTGATTACTTTCGCAACATTTCGAGCATTGTCATGCTACAAAATCACTTTATCGTGTCTCTCGTTGTATTGCGGTCATTTGTCTTTCAATGTTCGGCTCAAACGCATCAATTGCGTTCGATACCGATCGCCTGTGATTGTTTCAGTCGGTTTTAACAGTTCATAATACACTACGCCGAGCTGGTCCCATCAAATACAGAGCATGACTTTGGACGTCAAAATCACTGTTCTTGAAGCGTTGAAACCACTCACGACACGTTCTTTCACTAATAGCGGCTTCACCATAAGTATTTGAGAGCATTCGATGAGCCTCAGCCGCAGATTTCTTCATATTGAAGCAAAAAATTAAAACCTCCCGCAAATGACGAGAATTTCGCTCGTAAACTGACATTTTCAATCGAGAATAACTTTATGATGCAGACACAAATCGACTAATGTTTCTATGGGGTTGACAGATACCCAAGTTTATTGTATGACCTCTATGATCTATTTATTTTGACCACCACTTTCCGCTAAAGCGGAAAACGGCGGAAGCAAAGTTGTACACCTAACACTATTATTTATTGTAATTTACATTTTTTTTTCACATTTATACAAATATTATTAACATGTTTTTATGTAATAGCATTTATTATTAGTATTACGATATTGTTATACTTTCATATAATACATATCGTATATTTTTAACATCTATATACTACTAGTATTTCAATTTTACATTTTATATATTCCATATTTTTTGTTTATCATTTATGCATATTACTATTATGTACTATTATGTACTATTATGTACTATTATTATTTTAATTTACACGTAATGCATGTTTTTTTTACATTTATATAAGTATTATTATTATTATGTTTTATGTAGTACCATTTATTATATATTACTATTATTTTTCATTTCATGTATCGTACATTTATATTTGTATATTCCAGAACGAAGATGGAAAGGATAATAAAAAAAAAAACGTTTATATATTTATATTGATATATTTTTTATATGTAGAATCAAAATTTTATCAAACGACATTGTTTTTGTGTATCCATGAATTGTGATCCATCGAATCCCAGCCACTTGACGTACATCTTATCTCCTTTTCGGCGCAGTACTTTTTCCACGAGATACACATCTGGATGAGTAGCGCGATGCAACTCATGCTCGTAAAACGCTCCAGCGACGGATTTTCCGCGATAATCCTTGAGTAGATAGGTTACGGATTAGTACACTGTATCTTAACGATTATAAACACCTCGATGGTCCAATTTGTATAACTCTTCTCAAAAATCGTTTTGTACTTGCTCACGCGTACCGAATCGCCCACTTTAAATTTTGACGGACCAGCAATCTTTATCGCGCTGTACACCGTGTCCAAGAGTCTTTCGGCGATCGTGGGAGTTACGTCAGGTCGCATGCCGATAATCCGATGCTTGCGCGCGTTGTAATCTGACACGAGATGCGGCAACTCGTCGATCCACTTGTAATTACCGTTAAGTGTAAACATCTCCCATATGTCGTTTTTGAGCGTGCGATTGAACCACTCGACTGACGCTTTCAACGTCGAAAACGTGGAATAATGATTAACGTCGTGTTTTTTCAAGATTTTTTTGCACATCGGCGTTTAAAATTCCTTTCCTACATCCGTTTGTAAATTTTTCAGACATCTTCCATTCACTCGAATTATCTTAACGATAGCATCAACCGTCTCGCTTCCACCCTTGAGGGATACGGCCCACGCGTACTTGCTCAATCATCGATGATGATGAGTATGTAATGGTAGCCTCTGTTGAAGTCTGAGTATGGACGCATCTTGACGATATCAGCCTGCCACAAATTGTCGTATCTTCGAACTATGACGCGCCTTCGCGGAAAATTTCTTCTCGCCGGAGCATGCAATTCCTCGACGAGTTTTTCGAAATTAATTTTTCTCTTTTCGCTGAATCTCTTTTTCGTGATTCAACGCAATACACAGAGCAAAAGAATTTTTTTTTTTTCTCACTGACACCACTCTGACTAACTCGTTTCGTCTGTACGCGATTTAATTTATAATAAGACCGGTTTCGCGAAGTTCTTCGATGATCGACAATATCTCGTTGTCATGAGCGTTGTTGCCCGCTCGGTGCGAAGCGTCGAGCAATCGTAGATGATTCACTAGTTTGTTGGGATCCCAATACATGTAATCAATCGCGTTGTCATTCAGTATCATTGCATGAAGTAATCCCTTTCCAGATTTATTCTTCTGTTTCTTGAGTGTGATCGACATCAATCGGCGCGATAACGTATTTGTACTTGTTCCCTATTGCTCAATAATCGCCCTGCGATTGATGCTTGTGTTTGTGCGCGTTCATCGCTAGTAGCTTGCTCTTGTACTTGTTCATATCGTTTTTCATGTAGAGGAGATCATCGGGAATTCTCTTGAAAATCAACTCGTAAAAATCACCGATAC